GGGAGGAGCACCGCCGGCTGCCCTCAGCTTCCTGCCGCTCCCCACAGAGGGACGCACGGACAGGGCGGCTCTGCTCCCGCTGGGCCTCGGCTCTCACCCGTGTGACCGGACGTTTAAGCATCTGCAGAAGGGCCATCCCCAGGGCCATCCCCTGGGCCTCTCATGGTGGAGCCCCAGGGAGAGGCAGGGACAGAGACGGGTCCCGGGACCGAGCAGCACAGGCCCTGCCTCCAGGAGGCGTCCCTGGGCCGCTCTGGGCCCCGAGTACCCCCGTCTCTGCGCTTGGGGACGGAGGACCGCTCGCCAGGCCCATCCCAGGTCCGCCCAGGAGGCCACGTGTCTGTCTGTGTGCGAGGGCGTCCCCACCCGCAGACTTGGCTCCTGGAGGTGCCGCCCCTCCCCCTTCTCTGCCTCAGTTCTCGGGGGGCTGGTGTATGCACAGCTGCAGGGTGTCATCCGCCAGGGAACCGGGGTTAAAATCGTCCAACCCCAGGCCCGGCCGGCGCGGCTCAGAGGTTGAGCGTCGACCTATGAACCCGGAGGTCACGGTTGGGCGGCATGGGTGTGTGTCTCGGGCTTCCTACTTGCTCCCTGGGTTTAAAATGAACGTCAGGTGGTCCGGCCCGTGTGAGTCAGGGGTTGAGCATCGACCTATGAACCAGGAGGTCACAGTTTGATTCCCGGTCAGGGCACAGGCCCGGGTTGCAGGCTCAATCCCCAGTGTGGGGCATGCAGGAGGCAGCCGATCCATGGTTCTCTCTCATCATTGATGTTTCTCTCCCTCTCCCTTCCTCTCTGAAATCAGTAAAAATATATTTAAAAACTGTCCCACCTCAGCTGCTCTGAAAGCCGGAGATGCATTCAACAGGGGCCCTTTGCCCGAGACTCATGGCAGAGTGGCTGGGGCGGACGCAGTGCCCCCAGCAATGACCCTGCCACAGGGCGCGGGCACCATGTGCGCGATGGAAGGCTCTAGAAAGGCTGGTCACACTGAGCTGCATGGGCCTGACTCGGGAGCTGGGTGTGGGGCCCTGGTGGCTCTGACCTTGCCTTCGACACCCGAGCTGGTGCCCTAAAAGCTCTCCAGGCTTTGCAACTGGGGGCAGGTGGCCGTGGCCGCACCCGGGAGGGGCCGCGCCTCCCCCTGGGGGTGGGGCTCAC